GTGAGCCCGTGAGAAGGGGGACCCACGTTGCCTCTTCGGGCTGAGCCCGGCCGGGCCCCATGAGTGTAGGCCCGGCCACCAGGCGCTCGCCAACGAGCCCCGCCTCCAGGCCTGGCTCCAGAGGGGGGCCCCGATGACCCGCGTCCGGGCAAGGGAAACTGAGATCCATTAATTGTACTCATCATAAGGGGTCTTTGAGCCGTGCTTTGTCTGGTCCCTCACCTAGAACCTGTTTGCCATGGGTGACCCTGCCAGGGGCATAAAGCCCCGGACAACTTAGCTCCTAGGATCATTGGGACACACAAACCCCTCCACCACGGTAAGGTGACGGCTCACGGAGGGGCTACAATTTTATCTGTGGTTTTATTGTTCTTGTTTTGATTGTAAAGTGTCCTTGAGTGTTTTGAAAGGCGCTTATAAATGAAATGTATTATTATTATTATTATTACATCGACCAGGATATGAGCCGATAGAGTACTTGACAATAAAATGACTGACCAATCCGAATTCTTTGTCACTCCTGTTATTTACAGTATACTGTGGTGTACAGTATAGTGAGCTTTTTCTATGCTGCTAACTTCCCCACAATATTGTGATGATTATCGGACCATGAGGTTCGTATTGGGATCATGTATCGTGACATTTGAATATCGTTTACAGCCCTACAAATGGCCAGCTGGGGCACAGTGGTTTCGTGTCGCGAGCCTCCCTTGTGTGCCCAGGCGCCCCTTTTCTCTTTACCCAAACTGCACATTATCTTATTCTGATAACGTGCAGTTTGGATTTCAGTGAGTGGTGTGAGTCTAAGACCGGGTATGGGTCCATGTGTGTGGGGGTTCTCTGTCAACCCCAATATGGAATAGTCTCCAAAGTGGACATCACAGTCCAAAAAACAAAATGTTTTTGACATCCTGATGCAGGAGTTTGATGTTGTTGTACACTGTATTCATGTGCTCATTGAAGGCTTGCACGTCTTGGCTCGAAATTATGTCAACCACATATCTGTACAATTGTTTGCTGAAAGGAGTTCAGAGCCCTCATTTCCGGTGAACATTTTAAAGACAAAACCATGGCTGCGCTATGCACTTCCTGGTATCCCCAATTACAGTAACCTAGTGCATGGAGGACAAGGAATGGAGGATTGGTTAAACTTGTTTTCTAACATATCTGCAGCTGCCATAACACAACTGTGCATTATTCTGTATTGTCTGGAGTCTAATGTGCAGTTGTTTTTAATTTCCCTCTCATCACTATTTATCACAAGAATGCAAAGAGAAAAAAAATATCGATGGACGAATGATTTACGGGTGACGAGGATTTCAAGGAAAATTTTGCCTCAGCCACAAACTACTCTCCTTGTTGTATGAATTGATGATGAAACTTGCCAAGATGACAAGCGAAACATCTTCTCAGGCAACTGTAACAATCCAGCTACAATCGATCTAATGCACTGAGAATGATATAACCTGGATGAATGAGAATATTCACAGGCCTGTTGCTTTAATATCGCTGCTGAAAAAGATTATAGGCAGCCCGGTAATCGACTGGTTAGCGCGTTGAACTCACAGTGCAGAGGTCATGGGTTTGATCCCGGCTTCGGCCTTCCTGTGTGGAGTTTACTTGTTCTCCCCGGGCCTGCGTGGGTTTTCTCCGGGTACTCCGGTTTCCTCCCACGTTCCAAAAACTTGCATGGCATGCTGATTGAAAACTCAAAATTGTCCCTGTGTGTGAGTGTGAGCGCGGATGGTTGTTCGTCTGTGTGTGCCCTGCGATTGGCTGGCAACCCGTTCAGGGTGTCCCCCGCCTACTGCCCCAAGACAGCTAGGATAGGCTCCAGCACCGCCCACGACCCTTGTGAGGATAAAGCGGATCACAAAATGGATGGATGGATGGATGGAAAAACATTGTGGGTAAGATTTCTCATTTTCTTTTGTAATGGACGGTCAAGCGTAACCTTTGCGAAAGGTGACTTCAAGGTTGTGTCGCGTTACCTTTCCAAAGCATTTAAAGAATTCGAACAACCTGCCAAGTGTTTCCGGGTCATCTCACTCAGGTAGGAGAGGAAAGTTCCTTGGCCAAAACGAGAATCCAAAGAGGGCCTAAGGCTCAGGCTCAGCCCCTGGTTGTCATGGTAACAAGAGCCGGACAACCAATTGGACCAGCAGTACATGAGGCAGGGTATACATTTGCTCACTAATTTCATCAGGACAAGAAAAAATAATTTCGATCTTTGAGGTATTGTGACCAAATCACGTCCCAGATGGGCTAGTCAAGCCTCCACCTGCAAACTGTTTTTTTTTTTTTTTTTTAGTGACTGTTTAGTCAAAATTGCTGTTACCTGTTTGACCTTCTCTCTCTCCTGCTCCAGGGTGAGAGCAGCTGCGGTAATGCGAAGACTTTTCTTGAACATGGCCATACGTGTCTTAGCCTCACTGCGCTGTATCTTTGGCAGCCTGGCTCTTTCCTGAGTCTGCTTGTTCTTCATCTCTTCAATCAGTCGCTGGTTATAACGCTGCATTTGCTCCATCTCCTGCAAGGGAAGAAATAAAGTGGTGTCAGGCTTAGCTGTAGAACAAACATCAAGCCATTACTTGGAAAAACAAGTGTGAGTGGGACAACGAGGCACACTTTTTCATGTCTTTTCAGCAGCTGGTGACGTTGCATGAAGTATTGGTCTTTCAGCTGCTGCTTGAACAGCTGGTGTTTCTCCTGCAGATGACGCTCTTCCAGCTCCCACATGGCAGCCTCCCTTGCTGCGTGCAGAAAGACACAAAAGTGCAAAGGTTGGAGCAAAAAAGTGCGCAGAAGACCCACTGGCAGCGTGGTTGGAGAGCCAAATCTTATCTGATTTCAGATGGCATGCAGTGGAGCAGCGAGAGTGAATGGCAGTAAAGTTAAGCGGTTCACACCGCTGCCTTTCACGCAGCTATCCAGGGCTCATTTCCTAGTCAACACCCTATTCACAATTGCCCGGTGAATGATTGACGGTCAGTCCAAAACCGCACCTCTTACACTAAGTCACCCGGGATAGACTCCAGCTTCCCTGTGATTTGCACAGAATAAATGGTATTGAAAATGGATGTAGGTGCTTGCCTTGTGTGCAGAAGATTTGGTACTCTGAAGTCACCTTTTCTCCCCGTGAAAGTGGCATGTAATCGCTCTTAACCTCTGTTCCAGGTTCCCATGACTTGGTTCAGCAGGTATTTCTCAGAAGTGTTTGTGTGTGCATACCAAGTCCCATCCATCCATCCATTTTCCGATCCACTCATTCTCACAAGAGTGCTGGAGCCTATCCCAGCCGTCTTCGGGCAGTAGGCGAGGGACACCCTGAACCGGTTGCCAGCCAATCGCAGGGCACACACAGGCGAACCACCATCCATGCTCACACTCACACCTCGGGACAATTTAGAGTGTTCAATCAGCCTGCCATGCATGTTTTTGGAA